CATTTACCAGGAGATGCACTCGCAGCAGGAAGATTGCCAGGTAATGTTAAGCCAAAGAGTGTTTTCAAACATATCAAGGTTTTCCAGAGATGACAAGTTGGAATATCTTGCGGTAAAGCAAGTTTGAGATTCCTGACACAATTTTTTTTTTTTTTAATTTGAGACAGTCTCACTGTGTCGCCCAGGCTGGAGTGCGTTGGCCCAGTCTCGGCTCCTGGGTTCAAGTGATTCTTGTGCCTCAGCCTCCTGAGTAGCTGGGATTACAGGCATGTGCCACCACGCCTGGCTAATTTTTGTATTTTTAGTGGATATGGAGTTTTGCCCTGTTGGCCAGGCTGGTCTCGAACTCCTGACCCCAAGCGATCGCCTGCCTCAGCCTCCCAAAGTACTGGAATTACAGGTGTGAGCCAGTGTGCCCGGCTCTCAAACCCAGTTCATTGTAATAGCTAGATTCTTTGCCAGTTTATTCTATTCTCTAAAGATTCTCCTTGAGGGAGGTATGAAATTAGAATAAGCTGCCTTTCTCTTATTTGTAAATATTACACTGTTTTCCTCAGGCATTAGGCCTCTCTTTTAAAATTATTGCTCTAAACATAGGTTTTTTATAATTGTGAAACACGCTATGTAAATAGAGTAAGATAGTTTATGGAATAAAGTGAACACACCCCTGAACAACCCCCAGGTTGACAAAATGAATAACAATACCTTTTTATAAACTTTTATAACTTTATAAAATAGTATTTCTGTGAGATCCATTTCATTCTGAGCTTCAGTTTTCCTCAAGTTTTTCATAGGTTTGTGCTGTTTTTATATATATTTATTTTATATTATTCCTCATCTTTTATAGTTTATAGGTGACTTTTATTTTGATGTGGTAGAACATTGGGAAGTAGAAAAAGGCATTTTAAAAAGGGAAAAAAAATACCCTTTCTGAGGCAGTCACTTTAAAATATTTTAGCCTGTTTCCTTTTTTCCGCTATACATTTTTTGCTGAATGTTACATCATAAGACTGTCACTGTGTCATTCATAATGCTTTGTATGCATCATTTTTGTTAGCTACCTAAAGTATAATCTGGGGAACTCACTGTGATATCCTTGGATATCACCTCATATTTCTCATGTTTTAAAACTACAAGAAAAACAGAATATGGGGAGTCATTGCCACATTTTTGGACCAAGGAAGGGACAGACCTAGAAACAGTCCTCCCTAGCCCCATCCCAAGGCCAATACTCGTATCATGGTGCTGTCACTGGAGAGGGTGTAGTGTAGTTGTGGCCCACTCCATGGCAGAGAAGTTAGATGAGGCGTCAGAGGCCAGAACTGGCAAGCAGGAAATTACCCACTGGGGTTCCAGGGAGACTTGCTGGGAAGCTGCCCTTTGGGATTGTGGTGAAACCTGCTAGGAAACCACCTTTAGAGATGCCACTGAAAGTTGCTGTGGTGAACACCACTTAATGTCTTGCACACCAACCAGGCATCACAGCAGTAAAGGAAACAAAAACACCCGATCCAGGAAGTGAAACTTGTTTGCCTATGCCCTCTACTGACAAAACTTAATTGTGGCAGCTGGCAAAGGAGAAACGGTTTCAGGGGCCAGAGAGAAGGGTAGATTTGAAGCTAACTGGCATACCTTTCTGGTTAATACCATAACTCTTTATAATACCATAACACTTTAAAAATCTGCCTTCTTTCTTTGAGTCTTGAACTGTACCTGTTGATGGGCTCTGTCCCTTTGCTTCAGAAATACAGACTTTTAATGTGA